GTCGGACAATTATTTTAAGACATTTTTATGTTTATATAGGATATATATATATATATATATGTTTCATTATATTGAGCACTGTTTCGCTAATACCTGCACTATACGTGCGATATGGTGTAATGTTATTGCCATATAACCATATCTATAACACCCCCCCACACACATATTAAAAGAGAATTAGAAAACATTAGAAGGAATTGGAAACAAGAAATAAGTGATATCCATATAAAATTGTGTATTTGGGCAGCAACCCCTCTTTTATACAAGTTTCATTGAAGACGAGTGACAAGATAGTGCAATTAAGCGTTTTATTAATTTTTTCTTGTATTCGTACAAGTATTTTCCTTTCTGGACATAGAATGCGTGAAAACTCCAAATGTTCTTTGACCCAAGCTCTATCGGCTAATCTGTTAGCCATTATCAAGGATGTTGTTTTAAACTGAATATGTAGATTTTTATACATATATATATATATATATATATATATATATGCAGAGAGATGGGGAGAGAGAGGGAGAGAGAGAGAGAGATGGGAATGTTTTTTGTTGGTTTATATTTAATTTTCGTACACAGCACGTTGTACCCGTGTTCATAGTTGATATTATTGAGAGTTGGCTTCCTTTTTTTTAAATTATTAATGCTTCCATTATTTTTAACACTTTTTTTTTGTACGGATGCAAGAAAAAATTAATAAGAAGCTTATCGGTCGTGCCATGTCAGTCGTTTTCAATGAAATATATATTCATTCAAACAGGTTTGGTTCAATAATTTAGGCATATCATGTTGATTAGTTTTCGTAGTGATACTATCAAGTTCGCGGATTAATTTTATGGTAGATTTGGAAAATTGACTAAGAAAAATACCAAAATTTTCTTTCGAATAGTTTTTATTTTCCCAAGTAAATTAATCCGCGAACTAAAATTAAAAAAAATAATTAAAATTAATAAAAAATTATAATAAAAAATAAAATTGAAATTAAAAAATTAATCCGCAAACTTGAAAGGATCATGACGAAAACTATTCGACATATGTCTAAATTATTTAACCAAACCTGCTTGAATATATATATATATATATATATATATATATATATATATATATATATATATATATATATATATAGAGAGAGAGAGAGAGAGAGAGAGAATAAATAGATAGAGATTAATTAAAAGGCGTTTTCTTTTTATTTTTTAACATTTTTATAGTCATGTATATTGCTTTAGGATAGAGGTAATTATTTCAGGAATGGAGATATTTAAAAAAACATCCGGGGCGCAGATTTTATATTTTGATAAGATTCGATTTCCGTTTGAGTAAATTACGTTCCCTTATAATAATGGTAGCATTCTTTAGATCAAAGTTTTTTTCTGTGTATGATTAATGTATTTGTTGGGTATAAAAGTTTTTTTTTTTTTTTTTTTTAATTTCTGCAAGTTTTCCCAATATAAGATGAAGAACAGTTGTGACAGTTTATTTTATATATACCAACTTTAGAATTATTATTGTAATGGGTAATTTTTGGTTCTGATCATATCCATAAGAGTTTTGAATGTGGTTGTAATTATTTCGATATCGTTAAGATTAGGTATATTGTTTTGGATAGTAGATGTTATTGAGTTAGTAGGTAGTATTATATGTCTGTTTTTATCTAATATATATATATATATATATATATATATATATATATATATATATATATATATATATATATATATATATATATATATATATATATATATATAGATAGATAGATAGATAGATAGATAGATAGTGAGAGGACATAGATATCAATATTGAGTTGTGACTTGTCTGAAGATCTCAGTGAAGCGTGAAATTGGCAACTACCATGCAACATTGATTTCTATGTCTACACTCTCTTTATATTTTAAACGCCCTGTTTCCCATATTCACCTCCATTCCTCTATAAAATATAGTAATTATTAAATTCTCTCTGTCTCTCTCTCTCTCTCTCTATATATATATATATATAAATATATATATATATATATATATATATATATATTTCTTTTATACAGGTTGCGATGGATAAATTGTCGTCTAAATTAGAATATTAGAAAAAGTAAATAAATCATCAAATTTTCCTTCGAAAACATGTTTTTTTCGAAACATGTTTGAAAGAAGAGTTACTACCAAATTTACATTTATATATATACATACATACATACATACATACATACATATATATATATATATATATATATATATATATATATATATATATATATATATATATATATATATATATATATATGTAATTTATATATATATATATATAATATATATATATACATATATAATTTATATATATATATATAATTTATATATATATATATATATAATTTATATGTATATATATAATTTATATATATATATATATATATATATATATATATATATATATATATATATATATATATATATATATATAGTTAAAATCCAAGTAATCCAAGTATCTTAATAATGTAAAATATTAAAACTGATCCACGAACGAGAGTTTAAATTGAGTTTCATTTTATGTAATTCATATATATATATATATATATATATGAAGAAATATAGTTTTAATGTATGTTATATTTTTGGGATAAAGTACTCGATATCAGAGATAGAGCGTATGTAAATATAAAAGTGAACATTGAAGTCAACAGTCAGAGGCGAAAGACTGTTTCATGTTAAACGCAATCATCAGGCCACACTTGATGACTGCTTCTAGGAAACGATAAAGTCACGCATGTCGGCGTGAAATCGGTGAAGCGAGTTTAAATTCCGGACGAATCTGTTTCGTTCATTTTTGCACTAATGCCCTTGGAAAAGGTATGAATCCGTTTTTTCTCCTCTCAAATAGTAGGCTAGCCTTGGATCGCAATCAGTCGAAGATAAGGAAAAACTCTATTCCAATCTGCGGAGAAGGCTACGAGAAACAACTCCAATATCTTTCCCAATAAAGCACGGCGATTCACAGCTAATAAAGAAAAAGGAATCTGTGGAGAGTCATGATCGCCAATATCCTGAAGAGACATGTCATTAAAAAAAAAAAAGAAAAAGTTCTTCTAAATATGAGAAAAACACTCAATCTTAAAATTAATGGGTAACATTAACGGTGATTTGTAGATATGTGAATGAAACATTCAGGGTCGGTGCAAGGGTCTCGTGCCCTCTCCACAAATCTATGATTCCCCGAATCTTTTATACGGTCCTCTCCGCTCTACATCTCAATTTTCATAAAGTAGTATTCATATAAAATATAAATTTTATTGTAAACTAATTATATACAATAATGGATCATATGCAATATTGATGAAGAATTCAACTAGAAAAAATGAAAATAAATACAATGTAACTTAATACAAATTAGAGATATGTCATAATAGATCATTCCATCTAAAATCGGGTACCTCTATGTGGTGTAATGTTTAGGAAGCTTTTTGTCTCACGAGATCAATTGCAACTGAATAGTGAGTTCGATCTTTACTGGGTGCCCAATACTTTCAACGTTGTGCCACATCTACAGCTACGCTTAGAAAATCAATCTTTTGCGGCAATTTTTAACATCTACTTGAGATTTTTCTAGTTAAAAAGATTGAATAATTTAACCCATTCAAGTGTATTTAACCCATTCATAGTAGATTTTATATAGTGTTTTTCAAGAGTTAGCGTTAGCAAAACAAATTCACGGATTTGGAAAAAAAAAGAAAGAAAAAGAATAAGCTCCCAGAATGGCGTAAAAATCCGCGAAAATTTTTCTTCATTTAATATTAAGTTGGTGCAAAACTAATGACGTAATAATGTCGTTTTTTGACGTTAAAAAATACGTCAAAGAACGACATTATTACGTCATTATTTTTGCACCAACCTAATAGTCAGTTGTGCTTAGTTTAACCCTTTGAGCCCTGTGTTCCTGAACAATTTTAACCGTTCGGCCCGAGATCCTGAGTCAAAATTCGCAAATAATTGGTATGTAATGCGTCACAGTAGATATACCAATAGTTACAAGTATTTAACCACCGTTCAAGCGGTGGCTGGGCATTAGGTCATTTTTCTCTACCACCGTTCATCCGGTGGCTGGGCATTACGTCATGTTTCTCTACCACCGGGAAAGTGGTGGTTAGGTCTCAAAATGTTAAATTCTAACGCCTATAAATAGAGGAAAAAAAAAAAAAAATGTTGATAAAATAGCTAGGTTCACAAATCATTGCCCGGGCCCCCAACCAGGCTTCCAGCCGGTTGTGGGTGGTCGGCGGTAGTACGCAACGGCCCTGGGAACATTTACAGCAAATTGTTATTCTTATAGTATTACCGTATTTTATGTCAGGGTCGTTTTTTTTCATCTAAATTTTAGAACATTCGTCTATTGTATAGCTACTATTTTTGAGACAGTGAAATTGGTGCGTGAATCTAAATTTTCAGATCGTTCATAAAAGACCAAGTTGTTGGAAAATGTTCTTATACAACTAATATCTTCAATCAAGATTTTCTATCACGTAAGATTTTGTCCAGAAGAAAAGGAAGTTTAAAAAATATGCATAAAAACAAACTTACTTTTTTGCGAAACAGTTTAAAATGAAATTTCCAATATTGGATCTCTTCTGAAATATCAGAAAATAGAGATTTCTTTTTGTTTAAACGCAGATATCTGTTGAAAATTGTATAAAGTTAAGTAAAAGCTGCGAAATATGACAAAGTTGTTTCAAACACATGTCGATCCGCGATTTTTGGAAAACAATCTTCGATCAAATGAAACATCTGTGGCTTTTATATTCGATGTGTGTTTGTTTTTGTGTTAAAAATCAAATCGGCTTTCTGACAAATTCAAATGAGATATTTGGATTAAAATTAGCGGGAAAGTGTCTTGATTTTGGTTAGTTCTATCAGGGAGCTTGGAATATAGTCGAATTTTCTTTTATACGAATACTATTCTGTTTGACTATTTTATATCACATAAGACAATGTTCAAAAAATATACATAAAAATCGGCTTACTTTTGCGAATCGGTTTAAAATGAAATCCTCAAGTTTGAATCTCTTCGGAAATATTCCAAATGAAAATTTCTGTTTAAACACAGCCTGCACCAGTGAGATGAAACGTGTTTGCTATTCGTCTGTCTGTCCAGCCGAAACCGCAAAGTTGGGTGACAGACCCATGGAAACCGAAGCTGGACGTCAGAGTCCGTCCTTCTGCTAAAGTCACATCAATTGGAATGGACTGAAGAAGAAGCAGACGACGAAGAAGTGTGGGCAGCAAAGGTTTAATCTGTCGGAAATGGATGGGCCGAATCTTGACACGTTCGACAAGGAGGATGCAGCGATAGGCCGTGAAGGAAGTTACTGATAGCGTACTGCAAATACAGGATTGGGCATATGCTGACGCACTGACGCTCCCGTGCAGATAATTATTCGATCTATGTAAACACACACACACACACACACACACACACACACACACACACACACACACACACACACACGTACGTACGTGCACACTAAGTTTGAATAATTGCTGCCAATTTAAACAAAAGCTTCTATTATGCTCCATTTCCCTTCAGGACGTTGGCAATCATGGCCCTCCCCAACTTCCTGTCCTTTGTAGCCCTATATAATGTTTGTCTTTTTGCTGTCACTCATAATCCCTGTTCTGCCAACCATTTACACAAACTCGTTAGATCGACTATTCTCTGCTTTCCTCTGTCCCACTTGGCTTCAATACGCCCTATGAGTCTCAAATTCGCCAAACCCTCATTATGCACCCTACAAAATTTCAACTGTCACTTTGTGATTCTAATTATAAATTTGCTTTTTTTGTTTCCATTTTCCCTAAAATTTTGTCGTTACTCACATATTCAGTCCATGGTATTCTCAGCATCCTTTTGTAGAACTACATTTCTGTTGCCCCAAGTCTCTTCTTCATCTGTCCAACATTCACTGCCATATAACCGTTTTCATTCTAACGACATTTTCATGTTTCTTAATACTTTACTTAGCATTTGAAAGGCATCTTTCGCTATACCAGTGCGCCTTCGGATTTCGGTGCCATATTTTCCGCCCTCTGTTAAAACACTCCCTAGATATTTAACATTTTGTACTTACTTGATTTTTGGTGTCGACAATTGGGAGTTGGCATATCGGTTCGTTCCTTTTGCTGACAATCAAACATTCTGCTTTCTTACAATTGATGTTTAGTCCTTTCTTCTCACTTTCCTTTACGACCTCCTGTAGCAGTTCCTGTAGTTTCCTCTCAGTGACTCCTATCAACAATGTGTCGTCTGCATCAAAGACATACTCGGGAAAGAGTCGTCTAATCAAAATTGCCTCGTTAACCATTACACTGTCGCAAGTGTTATTGCATACATACAAGGACACAATGTACACATATATTTTATGCACCTTGGGTTATGTATCTTGCGCATTTTCTGTAGAGCAAGTTTTTTTTTTCTCTTAATATTATATTTTTTCAGAAGCTAGGCGAAATGGTTACCGCGTGCCATTCTCATAGATCATTGGTAATGGTAATAATAGCCGTTTCCTCATAAGGAAACATTAAGCGTTCATTAACCGAGCAATCAGGGATATTCGTGCTGCACTTTATTTTTCACTCTCTGGCTATCAGGCTGAGATCTGTTCTACTTATCTCTAAAATGATAATGGTAATATTAGGGGTTTCCTAAGGAAACATTCAACATTCATTAACTTAACAGCGACTGCTACTCGTGTCACGCTTTTTTCGCTCTCTTGCCACCGGCCTGGAACCAAAGTGTATTATCTGTTCTCCTCATTTCTAATGGTAATATCAGCCTTTTCTTTATAAGGAAACCAAAGCCAGTTCTACTCTAGTTACGCTTTTCTTTCGTTCCATTATCTGTAGTATCTGTTCTCCTCATTTCTAATGGTAATATCAGCCTTTTCTTTATAAGGAAACATTCCAAGCAGCCAGTTCTACTCTAGTTACGCTTTTCTTTCGTTCCCGGTCATCAGGATGGAACCAAAGTGTATCTGTTATCCTCATTTCTAATGGTAATATCAGCCTTTTCTTTATAAGGAAACATTCCAAGCAGCCAGTTCTACTCTAGTTACGCTTTTCTTTCGTTCCAGGTCATCAGGATGGAACCAAAGTGTAGTATCTGTTCTCCTCATTTCTAATGGTAATATCAGCCTTTTCTTTATAAGGAAACATTCCAAGCAGCCAGTTCTACTCTAGTTACGCTTTTCTTTCGTTCCCGGTCATCAGGATGGAACCAAAGTGTAGTATCTGTTATCCTCATTTCTAATGGTAATATCAGCCTTTTCTTTATAAGGAAACATTCCAAGCAGCCAGTTCTACTCTAGTTACGCTTTTCTTTCGTTCCAGGTCATCAGGATGGAACCAAAGTGTAGTATCTGTTCTCCTCATTTCTAATGGTAATATCAGCCTTTTCTTTATAAGGAAACATTCCAAGCAGCCAGTTCTACTCTAGTTACGCTTTTCTTTCGTTCCAGGTCATCAGGATGGAACCAAAGTGTAGTATCTGTTCTCCTCATTTCTAATGGTAATATCAGCCTTTTCTTTATAAGGAAACATTCCAGGCAGCCAGTTCTACTCTAGTTACGCTTTTCTTTCCTCCCAGGCCATAAGAAGGGGATCAAAGTGTAGTCTCTGTTCTCCTCATCTCTAATGGTAATATGAGCGGTTTCTTTATAAGGAAACATTTGACGTTCATTGACCAAACAGCCAGTGTTATTAGTGTTACATTTTTTTTTCACTTTCTAGCTATTGGGCTGGGATCAAAGTGTAGTATCTGTTCTACTCATATTTAATGATAATAGTAATATTAGCGGTTTCCTTATAAGGAAACATTCAACATTCATTAACTGAACAGCGACTGCTACTCGTGTCACGCTTTTTTCACTCCTTTGCCACCGTCCTGTGATCAAAGTTCTCCTCATCTCTAATGGCTATAAGGAAACATTTGGCGTTCATTCGCCGAGCAACCAATGCTACACGTGTTACAATTTTTTTTCACTTTCTGGCTATTTAGCTGGGATCAAAGGGTAGTATCTGTTCCACTCACCTCTAATAATAATGGCCGTTTCCTTATAAGGAAACATTCGGCATTCATTAACTTAAATTTGTAAAATCTTTCTCTTAAAACAGTTTTTTTTCTTTAGGAAAGCAAGTTTCTCAAGTCCAGTGGCTGTTATTGCTCTTTCCAGTATTGATGGCGGTTTCTTTCCTAACCTTTTGTTTGTAGTCGTGTGGAACATCTTGATTATGCCATTATTTTCTTTTCGAGTTAAAGGTGCCATTCGTTTTAATTGTTGCTGCTGTTGGTAGTCCGTAAGTGCTATGATTTCTATTATTTGGTACAGTTCTTCGTTTGTGGCTCTTCACGTCTTCCTTAGCTAAATAAGTTATCGCGTGTAAGTCTCATAGATTACACTTTTTTTTCTTTTTCCTAGGCCATCGGGATTGGATCAGAGTGTATTATCTATTCTACTCATCTCTAATGTTAATGATAATATTAGCGGTTTCCTTATAAGGAAACATTCGGCGCCAGTCCACAATGTTCAAAGAAAGATGATTTTGCCAAGACCCCAGGGTTTACTCGCTCAAAACCTTTTTTCACCATTGCTCTTAGGAAAGGGTTGTATATAGCTGACAGTTTAGAAGTTCCTGAACGAATCTGACATGGCATGCATATGAAAGTCTCGATTTGACTGATGTATTTACGAACCTAATTCGAGTTCTCAGATTGATGTTTTGTTTTCGTAGCAATTTGCAGTGCTCTGCAGGACCACACCTATCACAGTCTATTCTTTTTCAATTTCTTTTTCCCCTATACTTAATTTGTTATCGCACATCCATAATCAGTTTGATCCTTAATGGGGAATCAATAGTAATGGCCTTGTGCTAGATTACCGCAACCTAAGAATACCTTGTTCTGTCTTCAAAATGATCAGAAAAATTTACTTAAATACACTGACACACGCATTTATACCTGTACATATCGAACGCTTATGGATTTATAATATAAAGACCTACTTCTAAAGAATTAATAGATAAGGAATTCGACATAAATATAATGTTTATCTATACTAAAAAAGAAGTGATAATTGTCTGCTCGTCACGTATTGTCTACGTGTGATTTTGCATGTACGTATATATATATATATATATATATATATGATACAGCGAAACAGTCTGTCTGTGGATGACTATATATATTCTCCTGGAAATCCGGTTGAGTTCTCTCGGGAAAGAGGGTTTTAAAAAACAGTGGCTCCTACTGCTATTAAGCATCACTCTTCAAGTAAATTAAATTGAGGTCTCCAAGCCGCTGGCGTATTTCCCTTCCTTTTTGCCGTGCGACAATGACCTAGAGATAAGATATAAGCAAGAAACCGAAAACGTTTTTGGTTGTAATGTGGATTTTTAAAAAATATTATGCTTTATTCTCCATAATTTTGCTATACGGGTTTCCGGTCTCGCAACCATCATCAGGCAAAGTGTGCAGATTTCCACATATTATTAAAAATAATTAATTTTTTTCTTGTGTTTTTCGATGCTAAATATTCTCGATATTAGACATTCTCTTTTTTGTGTGTTAATGACCCAAATGTCTTTCTTGAACTGAATATATATATATATATATATATATATATATACATTATAACATTATATATATACACATATATATATATGTGTGTGTGTGTGTGTGTTCAGTTTATAAACACAGCTGTAAAAAGTGCTTTTGATATATATATATATATATATATATATATATATATATATATATATATATATATAATGGTTTGTAAAACACTACTTATCATATCTCAGTTGCGTCTCTGTCCTTGGGTATAGTGCAATCAGGGGCGACTCCGTCAAGGAACAGAATCGCAACTGAAGAAAATTATACTGGGAGGTGCCGACCCTGGGGAACAGCTGCCCGAGGCCGCGCCCTTTCATTGCATTAGAGAAAGGGATTGGTGCTCACACCGGGGCAAGTGCAACCGACGGTTGCGGGGGCTCGAGAATTTTTGTTCCTAGCCCGGGTGAACGCTCTCGGGTTCCCCACATTAATCCGACCTTGTGTCACAGCCTGACCTCGTGGAGGGTTGAGTAATTACAAAAAAAATTATTTTACAGGGTGACTGAAAAGTAACACCCT